ATATATATATGTGTGTGTATATGTGTATATGTATAGTACCGTAGTATATATAGTTAAAATAGCAATAAGTATTCAGAAGTAGTTTTATGGCAAAAAGTACAGAAGCAGGAAAACAATAGTGTTATTGCTGAATCAGCATTTACACAATAAAAGATTTTTATTATTGGACTGGCTGCAGTATAAGAGCATATCTTGTATTGACTTGTAAAACTTTCTCAGTTTTATTTCTCCTGGAGATTCTGGAGAAAACTAGCATTCTGTACATGTGAGTATACTGTAACCTGACGGTAGACAGAAGCAGGTTCTGTAGCAGATGGAAGTCCAGTAAAGCTTGAAATAATGTGAGCATTCAATGTGCTGTTTATGCACTTCCATTCAGAACTTCAGGATTATCTTTCAGGTTTTCTCTCCATGGAGAAGTGGTCCTCGTTCAGTTTGTCCCCACTAACAACATCAAGGTGTCATGTGACTCCCTCTCTCTGGGGTGCTGATGCTGCCACCGTCAGTCAGATGGGCGCTGGGAGCATCAGAGCGGGACGCCATCTGACAGGTCTGAGTGGTTCGAGCCATAGCTGCTGATGTAGCTGAGCTCAGTTCGTATGGTTTCTGTCGGCTCCTTAATCACCTGAAAAAGACATTTCACTGATAATTATGTTCTAAACAACATGAAAAGCCTCAACACAGAAGTCATAAAGTACAGAGAGGTTCTGCTAGGTAGGAACTAGTAGAACATTTGGAGACAAAGATTTAATTTTCTGCATATTGAAAGAAAACGTTCAAGTTCATCAGGTGCCTTTCTTAATGTAGGAGAATAGTAAATAAATAAATAAATAAAGCTTTCATTGCAAACTCATCTCGTAGCCCTTTATTTTTAAAGCATGAAAACTTTATTAATCTGTTCGGCTTTACTCACTTCATCGAACTTTCTCTCACTGTACACTTCATTCCTGTCAATAAATGTGAGCATGATCCAGTCACAGATAATCGTGCACTGGAGGGGAAGAAATGAAATTAAAACATGAACAGTTAGTTGTGTTAGAGGATGATTTTTAAAGAGCTGTAATAAAAAGTGTAAGTAGTTATTACTTACAATCCCCACAGAGGTCATAGCGGTCACCAGGCTGATGATGGTTGGAACGGTACTAAATTTTCCAGCCTGCACAGAAATGACGTGCAGTAAGTGATAAATCCACATAGCAAATAAACAATGAACAGTATTTTTAAAAGCACTACCTGTCCATGAACTATGACATCTAGACGGATGCCATAAGCTTTGATGAGTGTCCGAGACTCTACACCGTCGTTACTGTAATATTTGGCAAACCTGGGAAATATTTGGAAAACACACGGTTAATTATACAATCCATCCTTTGATGAAGTAAAGAGTGTGGTGCTGACCTGTAGTAGTATCCAGTGTTACCCAGATCCTTTCGGAGGTCAAGACGCCGGAATGAATATGTTGGTTTGCAATGTGAAGGATCCAGATCCAGGTTACAATCCCAGTTGATGAAAACTCCAATCACTCCTCCCTGAGTGCAAATAGAATTAAAATAATAAAAATAATAGGCCAGTGACATTGTGTGTGTGGAGCTGGACTCAGTGACGGTGGTGTCAGACAGGAGGATGATGTAATGTCACCCATCCTCCATGTTGTGTTGGAGGATGGGTGACGTCCCATAAACACAGGAGCACATTTAGTGCAAGACTGAGACCGTCAAAACCACAGAGTGCCACAGGAAGTCATTTCTGCCTGTGGCCATCCAACTATACGACTCCTCCCTCTGAGCGTCAGAGACTCTGTTACACTGAGTTATACCTCGTCAGCAGTGGTGTAGTCTATGTGATACGCAGGCATATGGAGTACATCCACTAGAAAAGTGTAAGAATTTCAGTATCCCCACTTTAAAGTGCCCAGTGATACTTGACATATCATTAGGAACGTGTCATTGATACGATAAATGGCAGTTAAACGCTTCCATAACAATCTGTCTGTATGCAGCACTTGTCTATTACATTTGCTTATCCAGTGACTTATTGTACTTATTAATACTTAATACTTGAACATGTTTTGCTTTGATACTATTTTATAAAGTTTATAACATGTTTTTAATACAAAGCCAACTGTTGAACAAAGTTTGTTGTACATTTATTCAAATATAAGCATCAGAGAACTTTGAAAATGTTCAATATGCTTAAAAATCAAAATAAATTAACAATTACATTGTACTAACCAGTGTACTTTGGTTTCTAAGCACAGTACGCACTACAAAAATGTAGACTACACCACTGCTTGTCAGCAATATATTCACATATTCATAACTGCACTCTTCACATACTTGAATGTATAGAACGCACATATTGTTTATATTAAATTTTTATTTGTATTTGTTATTTTTCATCTTTTTAATCTTCTTTAATATTTCTATTTTCGCTCAAGTGTTGATATACACTTTGAAATTCTTGTATGTTTACATGTTTGTACCCTTGCATGGAGAGTAAAGTCAGTTTCCCCCTGGGATTAATAAATTCTGATTCTGATTCTGATCATAAAAATGTTGACTTTGTTAATCCCCAATAGGAATATTAATTCTGGAGGGTTAAGGGCCTTGCTCAGGGGCCCACAGTGGGAGGCAGATATGGGTTCTTCACAGTTACGACCTAAATGTATGTGCCGGTCTGGGTCTGTGCAGTAAGGCATTTATTATTTCATTCTTCAGTCCGAGTGTTTTAAGATATAAAAATGACAGCACAATACTGTTTTTATGATATTTTATAATGCATTTTGCTCTTTTTAAAATTGCCTTGATTGATAAAATAAAAATCTGTAAAAGTCTAAATCTGCAAATTAAATCAAAACTTTTTTTTTTTTTGCATGGAGGAGGATAAATAACTAATAAAAAGGATTTTTATTGACTAGGAGTAATATGTACTTTGCTTTTTATGTATGTTGTATTCGCCACAAAAACAGTGAAAGTAAAACAGGACAATCTTTTTGAGGACACAGTAACCTGCAAATATTTTATTGTGACAACAGGAAGTGTCTGTGTTTTACCTCCAAAAAACTAAAATCACCTCTGGACCAGTTGAAGTTAATCAGTCGGTCAACCCATCCTTCATATGTTCATTACAGTTTACAAGTCTACCTGTAACGTCTAAATGTTGTAAACTGAACTAAACCAGTTCTTTCTTATCAAACGACAATTCATCTCATCTTGAAAAAGATGAACACAACATTTTACCCCATGAATATAATATAATTCCAGGTTTCCAGATGCAATTTGCTCAAACGCTTGCTTTTTCTTTAACACTGTTTCTGCTCCTGATTTTCTTATCTCAGTTCTTATCTCTGTTTAAGAAGAATCACCAGTTTAAGAAGTCTTTTTGTGTCAGTGTTAACTGGAGCTTGATTTGCTGCACTGCCTCCAGACCAAAGCTTGTCTGAGTCCTCCTCCTCCTCCTCCACACCACCTTATGACAATTATTTATCCATGTAGATCTAGATTTTATTATACCTGGCCTGCTACAATTTAAAATAAAATGATTTGTAAATTTCTCCTAATCTGCATATATGTTAGAAGTTGGTCTTAGTCATGAAGAGTCTGAGACGTTCTGCGGTGACGGCTTCATACTCACAGTTCTGCAGAGCTCACTGAAATTCTCCCGTGCTTGATTTGCAATGTAACCCAGACGGAAGTTTGGGCAGTAGGGATCTGTCTCCCCGTGATAGTGACACTTTTTAAGGTATTTATGCTTCTTAGACCCTTTTGAAGAATATTTTGCATTCACCCTGCAAAAGAATAAAACATGGTTAACATCAATGTCAGTAACGCAAATGACCACGAGCACCGGCTTCTGTTAGATCATGCTTTACCTCAACACTTTAAATTTGGGGAAGTGGATGGAGTTCCTGATGTACACCGTGAAGTTGATGGCCTCTACTAATGGTGGTTCTCTGTTAAAGGCAATAAATAAGACTTTATCCAGGGAAGACACATCTGGACTTGAAGCAGGTCTGCTGAGATCAATCCTGTCTGGCAATTGCTTTGCTTCCTTGCAACTGGATACGTTTTTTCCTGCTTCCCTGAATGTTTCCAAGACCAAGTGATATTAATTTATGTCTGTTTACAAGATGAATGGCTTGTTTTTGCTATTAAACAAAATTGTGGTTAGAATAAAATCTCAGCAAACTTATGCTGTCATCCTGAACTACAAAGTATATCACTTAATTTTAACTAAACTGCTTCAGTTTTTTTTTTTTTTTAAATTTATTAAATCTATTTATTTTAAATTTTCTTTTTAAGTTGACTTTTCATCATGCATTACGAGGCCTTTGGTAAATTACTGGATGATCTATGGAAACCTGACTTCATTTTTACCCCTAACTGTTAAAGATAATGAACCTCCCGACTCACCGTACCACGGCGAAAGCTTCAATCGGACACCAGGTTTGGATCTCACACGTTTTGAAGGTGTGGTTGTAGTACTGAACACACCTGCCAGTCCTCCTGCCTGTAGTGAGGTGTTCAAATTAGAAAAAAGATTGTGACAATCAAGAAAATCTAAGAAAGATGATGTAAGAAGCCATTATCACACCATTTCCTTCTAAATCGGCCTCCCCTTGAACACAGTCAGAGTCTGTTGTACAGTTTGCATTGGCAACTTCAAAATGCTGAAAACAAGCAAAAGAAGATAAACGTTAAAGGAAGATGCACTTTTCTATACTGTTCGTTCAGTTGATCTCTCACCTCAGCACAGGTGCCTTGTTTCTGATTGTAAGTGAATTCTCTCCTTAGTAATGTACTGATCACATCAACACCCTGCACAGAAAAGGTCAACAATCCTCATTTCTATAAACTCTATAGTACATATTGTTTTCAGAGAGTTGATGCCCTGCAGATTGTGTTCTCAGCTCACCTCTGAGGGTCGAGCGTACTCCACAGTGTCCAGGATATCATCATCGTGAACAGCCGTGCCTTTCATGCAAGTGTAAACAGAGCTCTCTGGATGGGTTTCACTCTCCTGGTATGCTTTCTGACTTATGAAAACATACCTGATGACAGAGCAGACAGAAGCAAAATCATATTTTCTACCATGATGTGAGACATTATTGGAGGCATCATGTTGCCTGCGATCTGGTTACCCTGTAGCGCTGGAGTTAAAAAACAACAATAATACTGTACACCTGTCAAATTTTGAGAAAAAATTATAAAATCTGCACAAACTAAATTATCCATTCAAAATTTTTTATCACTATTTGATTATTACAAATAAAACTGAAGTTAATTTTTGTTCTAATTCAACCAATATGATTTTTACTTCATTGTTGCTTTAACCTAATGTACTATCTGGTAGCAACAAAAAGCAAACCTTTGTATTTTTTCTGTATTTGGTCATGCAAACAGACAAACGTGCTCGTTACTTACCAGGTGAAATAGGTGATCACAAGAAACTGAACAGCTCTGTAAATGACTCCAAGAGTTCTGTTCTTAACCACCATCATCTTAGGAGTCTCATACGAGTCCCAGAAACCCTCAAAGTACTCCCTCAGAAAGTCACGCAGCCCCATGATGACAGTATAAAATGCTTCACTCATTTCCAGAAATTGTCTTGTTTTGTTCCTAGTATGCTTCTACCTCCAGCGCTCTATATTGTTCCTCTTTGTGACCATTTGATACTGCTCTCTCCTCCAGCATCATTGCCATCAGTGAGTGAGAGGAGTGGGAAACAGGGTGGGGCTCAGGCACAGACTAAGAATGTTGTGGCGTCTATGATGGACTCATAAAAGCTTTGAATTAAGTGTTTACAATCTTGAGCAGAATGTTGGTGACCTTTGTTAATTTTAGAACTGAATCACATGTTTTATAGTGTTTCTAGATTTGCCTTTTTCATTTTGTTGCAAACTATAAGATATGTGCAATAAATAAATAATTTAATTAAAAAACTAAATAATGAAGCATGTTGCCTTTTAGACATTTTAAAATGCAGTGATAATTGACTTTCTAGTTCATCTGTGAAGGAAAAACTTTGTGTTTTTGTCAATCACTTTGAAAAAAAATGCACTAAACATAAATAGTAAGGAGAATATTACACAAGTCTAAAATTGAGAAATGAGCTCATAGTGGTTGTTATTCACAGAAACATGTCATATGCTTTGAAACGTATTTGTTCTTATAATTTCATAATTTCTATAATGCTGTTTTGCCAAAACTGTATTGGGTGCCAGTTCTTTGTAGCTGCATAAACATTAACAAATGACTATAGTAAGAATATTTGGAATAGCTTGGTCTTACAAGAATTTCATTTTTAACTTCAAAATTACTTAAAAATACAAGTAGATCCCACTGAGCAAGGAGACGTCTAAATGACGTCTTTTTTAAGTCGTTTTTGCACGTCTAATTTGGGTCCCTCCCAGGTGCAGACTGTTACGACAGACAACGTCTTTTTCCGACGTCCAATAGACGGTCAATATAGACGTATTTTCTACATCAAAATTTAACTAATTTTATTCACTTCAGATAACAATATAATTAGTAAGTGCTTCGTGTTGTCTTCATTGTATGTTCCCATGCAGTGTTTAACACATTCACCCTCAGATGGATGTTGGAATGACTGGGGTTCGAACCCACGACCTTCGGGTTTAAAGTCTGCTGCTCTGCTGCTGCACATCTCTGTGCGGTAAACAAAGTTAAAGAAACGGTATATTTGACCATCTATTGTGCAACAGGAAACCACGCACTACAGATACTAGGTTTACAATTAAATGTCACTAGAAACAGTTAGACTAAGTTTTACAAATAAATCACTCCTTAAATTTTTTCCTTTACCCACTAAACATTAGACGTCGAATGGATGTGCATATCACGTTTATATTGAGTCCGTCGGTCTAGACCAATTCTGGACGTCTCCACGACGTGCAAACAAGGTCCACTCTGGACGTCTAACCATGACCTCACTTGTACGTCGTTATAAAGTCGAATGTTTGAACGTCGGACTTGGAGGTCGTATAGACATCCAAGACAGGTGCAGGTGTGCCTTAATGAATCATAATTTTTATAACCATAAAATTTACAATCATAATTTATAATCATAAAAGAGTAACTGTGCACAGTTACTCTTTTATGATTATAAATTATGATTGTAAATTTTATGGTTATAAAAATTATGATTCATTAAGGCACACCTGCACCTGTCTTGGATGTCTATACGACCTCCAAGTCCGACGTTCAAACATTCGACTTTATAACGACGTACAAGTGAGGTCATGGTTAGACGTCCAGAGTGGACCTTGTTTGCACGTCTTGGAGACGTCCAGAATTGGTCTTGACCGACGGACTCAATATAAATTTGATCTGCACATCCACTCGACGTCTAATGTTTAGTGGGATGTTACTTAGCACATTTCTGTAACAAAAGGAAAAACAAAATACATGCAGGACCCAGGTTGTTTCTGGTGCAATATTTTTTTTCCACACAAACTAAACATTTACACTCTATTAACACATACTGTTACACAAGGGCATTCTATTTTCATAAATTCCGAGCTTAGTTCTTGATAAATATCCCACACACTGATGCAAATTCACAAAGAAGAAAGCAAATTCCCTTTCTTTTAATTTTTTTCAACTTTATAACAAATGAGAACAGTGTAATAAGCAAATTAACAAAACAATGCTATCAGTGTTTCAATAGTTTATGAAGACCTGATGATATGTATTGACATGTATCATTTATTTATGCAATGATTAATAGCCTTTATGTTTGTCATTTTGTTTTCTCTTATTTGTATAATTACAAAAACTAAGAAAACTCTAAAAAAAAAAAGAAAAAAGAGAGAGAAAGGGAATTGTGTACAGGCGGACAAACAGTCAGTCCCGGGGTCCTGATTTCTGCTCCATCTCTCTTGCGCATGTCTAACAACACGTGCAGCTTTGGTGGCTGTTTTCAGTTTGTAGCGGAACAGTTTTTCGACACTTTCTTAAAATTGTGCGGAGAGTCATAAGTCAGTTTTAAATGGGGGGACTTCCGAAGAAAAAGGTAAAAGTTGACGAGCTGTTTATGTCGGACTGAAACACTGAACAATGACCGCTGTCTGAATAGTAACCGACAGTTAGCTAGATGCTAACGTTTGCTATTTAACACGCGCTCTCTGGATGCAGATACGAGTTTAAAGTATTTTTGTGACCTTGAGTACGAAAAGTATGGGTGTATGAGTTTAACATGAAGGTGTGTGTCTTGCTTTTAAGTTTGAGAGGGGCTCTGCCACCAACTACATAACCAGAAACAGAGCACGCAAGAAGTTAATGCTGAGCCTCCCTGACTTCAGGTAACGTTCTCTCTCTTTTTGCCCTATTTGTAAAATACATGTTTCTACAGCTTTTTTTTTAACTTCTCTGGTTTCAGCTCAATCATGCCCCACATGATGGGTACCATTGTAATACTTATACAACTTATTTGCTGTTTAAATGATGTTTTTGTGGTTTTCTGTTGTTCTGTATTTATGTTAGTTCTCTTTCACATTTTCATATCTGGTGTAAAGCACATTGTGTTACACTGGTTGTATAACTGGTGCTCTATGCTCGTTTGATTGTAGCTCGTTGCAGGTAGTTGTCGCATATAGATTTGAGCCCTATCTATGATCACCTTCTTAGGACATTAATATTTGATAACTACCGGTACTAAATTGTTAATATTGTAAAAAAAAAAAAAAAACTAAAATATTTATAGATTGTCTCTACATTAAAAAGTGTACTAGGAAAAATCCAGTTTAAAATAACGTTACAGTTCTTTTGTTGTTACGATGGCTAGATCAGGTATGTTTGAACATATGCACAACACTGGTCATCTGAAATAGATTTGTAAGACATGCATGTATTTTCATTTACCGTAGTAAATTATTTGGAAACATTTTGAAGATTGATAAGCAAGCAGATGAGGCTCACCCGGAGAATAGCTTACACAGTGTATATAGTACATCAAAGTCAAAGTTTCTTTAATTGTCATACATGTGGTGGAACAAAATTGTGTACACAGGTTCCCAGTTACATCCAACAAAAGTACAAGATATAAAAGAAAGACAGTAATCACATCTAAAATATGAACTAAGAAAAATGTTAAACTAAAATTACGCTAAGGACTGGTAGTGCAAAAACAATACGCCAACATGTATCATTGTAACATGTAACATGTATCCTTACTATGGTGGCTTATTATCTGATGTTATACAAAATAATTAATTATTAGGAATGATTAAAGTATGTATGTAACTGGTATCTGTGCTGCTGATTATCCTTGATGCTGATCTGTTCATTCATACCCATTTACTCACTACAGACTCATGTTCAGGCTGCTGTTTAATATACCGTATTATTTTACATTATTAGTGTTTGGCGTATATCTTATATCTTTTAGCGTATTGTTTGGCGTTGATTTAGTCTATATCTTAAATCCTTATATACTGCTTCTTTTTATACTTTATATTTTTGCTATTTTTGGGTGTAACTGGGACCTTGACTACACAAATTCATTCCACCTCATGTACCACATGTGATGCGAATGACAATAAAGGCACTTGAACTTAATGTGACTGATTTATGGTGTCTTGATGGGTCACTTTGTTTCGTGTGACTGAAATATTTCCTGGGCTATCAGGATTTACTCAGATAATTGTGTTCATGAAATGCTGGGAATCTTGTGCCTGGGTTTTGTACTGGTGTGTCCTTCTATAAAAAAATGATGTCTCTTGCTTCCTGAACCCAACTTTTTACATTTTTTGTGTAAGTGCTCTCCACTTCTGATGACTAACATAAGCTCTATGACCTCATCTCTCACTACAGTGTAGGGTTATTTAAATTTAATTTGTCAACTAACATTTGTTATTGTGTATGACTTCATTACTTATTTTGTTAAACTATCTGCTGCTGCTTTCAACTATGTGACTATGTTGTACATTATTTGTGTTTGATATTCTATATTTCCATCCCTAACTGGCTAGATTTTGACTGGAAGCTTCCACATTGAAGATAAATCTTTCTTTATTACTTTTTGATATTTAGGCGGCTGTGCATCCTTAAAGGTATTTATCCTCATGAACCAAAACATAAGAAGAAGGTGAACAAGGGCTCCACAGCCCCAAGGACCTTCTACCTGCTCAAAGACATTCGCTTTCTGCTACATGAGCCAATCGTCAACAAGTTCAGAGCGTATAAGGTATGCGACACCAATTTTTTTATCATGCCTAAATTTACTTATCGTTCATTCTTGTTGTCTCAGGTATAGTTATGTTTTGTCACTTCAATTTATTTATTTATTTTTTTTTACACAGTTTAATTCACAAGTTTGCAATTTTCAATTCAGTTTATTTAGTTCAGTGTATTTATATTGTGCCAAGTCCCAACAGAAGTTGTCTTGGGGCACTGTGCAACATATTCACATACACATACAACGTCTTTATTTAGATTTTGTTCAGTACAATTTTTCAAACTTATTTTTTTCTTCCAAAAATGCGTCTTCCCACAGATATTTGTACGTAAACTAAGGAAAGCATATGGAAAAACAGAGTGGTCTGCTGTGGAAAGACTTAAAAGCAACAAGCCAACATATAAATTGGACCACATTGTCAAAGAAAGGTGAGGCTATTTTACTTTTCACTTGGCGTGAAAGTAGAGCTGAGCATGTAGAATGTTTACACTTTGTGCCCAGTCAATTGAAGTCTGATCGGATTGATATGAGCTAATGGACAACTACCAACACTAGAAAATGCTTTTAACTAGAACAATATCATATCGGTCATTTTTAGAAGTAGGGCATTAAAAATATATTTTATATCGTACTGAACTGGTTCAAGATCAAAACACTGCCACACAGCATGAGCATCAAGTGCAACAGTAGAAAGTGGTTGTGCTGCCTCTGACCATACGGATTGTTTTTGTGATTACCTATTTTAAACACGGATGTGTCTTGAAAGCAGTAAACCAGCTATGTGGCTGATAGACTACAGTACACCCGAAGGGTTTTAATTATATCAAACGACAAATTGTTGTAATACTTTTATTCGTTGTACATTTTAGCAAAAGTACAATGCAGATACCAGGTTTTGTTCAACAGATGGCAGAGTTGTAACATTTTTCTGGGATACAACCTGAACTTCTTTACCATTAGTTTGAAATGTTGTATGAATACCCATTTCTTTAACTTGATTTCCTACTTCAAGAACATCCACTGTCTGAAGCACTGCTTGACATTTCAATCATTTTAGGGTTGGCATATGTCTTGACCCCAGTGAGATGGCTTTTATTTTGCCCTGTCATGCTTTAAAAGCTTCTATAAAATGAAAAAAGATTTGTAGAAGCTGAAATGGAAACTTATGAAAGTTTTTTTTTTTTTTTTTTTACCTGGCACTGTATTTTTTAGGTTATTGTTTATTGTATAGGCCAGAAAAATTGCTCTAGATATTCATAGTGTTGTCAGTTACTGGATTATGCAAGTGGTTTTTAATAAAAATGAAAAAAGAGTTCCTATTTGGATGGACATTGTATGAAAATGTTTTTCTGGCTTTTAACGTTTCCTTTTTGTGGCAGGTACCCCACCTTCATTGATGCCCTTCGAGACATTGATGATGCTCTCTGCATGTGCTTCCTCTTCTCCACATTCGCCAGAACAGGAAAATGTCATGTGCAAACAATTCAGCTGTGCAGACGTCTTACTGTAGAGTGGATGAACTATGTGATTGCATCTCGTGCTCTTCGAAAAGTGAGTTTCATACTGCTCAGCAGATGAAAAAAGTGTTTGTCAGAAGGATAAAGTATAACTTTGTGTTTATTGGTCATCATTTTATAATATGCTAAACACTTTGCCTGTTTCTGACAGGTTTTCCTCTCGATCAAGGGAATTTATTATCAAGCAGAGGTGATGGGACAGCTCATTACATGGCTGGTGCCATATCAGTTCTCCCATGATGTAAGTGTAGATTGATGGTGGCAGTCAGTGGGGATTATGCTGTAATGCAGGTATATTGTGGGATTACACTGAATGTTGGTGCAGTCATTTAACAATCTAAATCAACATTAATTAACAGTTCTGCTCTCATAATAAACTACAAGCAGTACTGCAGTTGCCCTAAGCTGTTTCATGCTCTAATTGTGTTTATTTACTAAATAATATTTAAATTAAGCTATTTTCTAATCACCTTGACCTTTAAGAAAAATCAATATTAGGTCTCTTTGTTCACCTAATTACTTCTTAAAAACTTTGGGGTTTTTTTTGTTGGTATTTTTGATATTGCATTTACAAACCTTATCAATAAAAAGCCCACCTGAGCAGACAATGGGTGATAAGTGGGGTACACCCTGGATGGTCTGCCTGTCCGTCACAGATGCATCACAAACAGTTATACACACACTAAAACTCGAGATAGGTTGAGAATTTCAAGTTAACCTAACATGCATGTTTTTGAACTTTGAGGTAATCATTATCTGTGCACCCACACATGCACAGGTAAAACTTCTAGACGCTACACTTATTACCAACTAAAGGTGCTTCTTTACCACCTGCTTAAATAATAAGGCTGTCTGGATAAAATATAGATTTTCTGTTTGAAGGAAATTTTATAAAGCCATTTTAATGTTTCCAATTTTACTTCTTAAACATTTTATAACTAAAGTTTTATTTTTCAGCACCCGACTGATGTTGACTACAGAGTCATGGCAACTTTCACAGAGTTGTACACAACCCTCTTTGGGTTTGTCAACTTCAAACTTTACCATTCTCTCAACTTGGTCTATCCTCCAAAGGTATCTGAAGAACTTAAGTTTTATTTTTCTGTGCTTACATTAGACATTTCTGTAAATATATAGTTTCCTTCCAGTATTTATACTGTAAATATTGTTGTTTTTCTTCTTCCAGCTGGATAGTACAGCAGACATTGAGCTCAAAGAGGAGGATGAAGATGATTATGCCATGAGTTCAGAGAGCTACTTGGAGGTAACTTGATCATCTTTGAACAGTCTGAAAGAAATGTTCAGGGTTTTACACAAAACTGATGTTAACATCTGCATTAGTGTGTAACGTGTATTGAGGACTGTTTGTTGCTGTGCCACAAATTTTTGGGAATTTTAAGAAAACATTTTGACGCACTGCAAAGACACTTTGAAGAGTTAACTGAGATTGATATTATGTATTGCTCCTGTGTGTACTTTACCGTACAGGCAGGTGCAGTAGTTTGTGCAGTATTCAATTAAATCAAAGTAAATAAAGTGGTGTTTGTGTAAGATCTTCATGTCAGAGCTCTGGCTCCAAGTGTGCTTTATAGTGTTTAGAATCAAAAATCAGCATTTCAAATCAAGTTATCACATGTGTAGTTTCTAATTATATATTTTTTAAATATATTTTTAACTTAATGACAACCAATTTAAAATTTTCAACAGTTTGGTCATCTTGCTGAATATCCCATCAGTGATATAACAGACCCCCCCCCCCCCCCCAAAAAAAAAAAAAATCAGCAGAGCTAACAACGCATAATAGACAGATATGAACTCAGCACACATGGGTACTTTTTACATCTTACTCACCCATTTCCCTTGTTTGCATTTGTTACTACTGTGCGGATGGAAAATGTTTATTATGCTCTCAGTAATAAAACATTATTACCTCAAACAGTTTGTTTAAAAGTACAGTATGTAAGTTTGTACAGTTTACTAATTTCCTGTTTATTCTCACTGTTGATAAAGTTTTTATGGCCCATCAGCTAGAAAATGTTCAGGTTTTGTTTTACATTCATTCAGCTCAGTGAATTATTTGGAATAATTTTAAATTTATTGAAATATAAATTAAAACTTTTACATTTGTTTGAAAATGATCATTTGCCCATTGTACTTAGCTAAACAGGCTGTTTGCCAGAAGTTAATTGTAATTTATGACAAAATTTCACTTCCGAAAGCTAATACTGAATTTTAACAACCAAAAAAAAAAAAAAAGTACAAAGCCTAAGAGAAAATTAAGATTATTTAATTCCCACTGTCATAAAAGTTAGGTGATAAATTGTCTGTCTGTGTTTGTCTGTTGGCAAAGTTTAATGAACCATCAGACAGTCGAGGCTTTTAGAAAGCTATTCTTGCATGTACATTTACAATCTAATAGTTTTTTAAATCTAAAAATCAACTGAGTACCGGTAATTCAAGATGGCTACCACAACTTATTACCCTTAGCACATTTAAAATAGCTACAGTCTGTTTTACCAACATTGAGATCTAGTTTGATGTGGTATTAGCTGAGAGTTATCCCGAACGCATACTCTGAGCATTCAAAGATAACAAGATCTTTGTTTAAAACTTTAACATGGAAGGAAGTGTGCGCTGCATTCTTTAAAGGAATGCTAATTTGATCAGTGACTTGATAAAACACATTTCTTTGTTACTGATCGTGTGTGCTCAGTAAAACTAAAATCTTTGTCACATTGACGCTTGTGAAGTGTATTGTTTTATTATTTACAAAACACTCATTTCTCACATTGTTTACTTTTATGTCTTAAAGTTTGTGCTATTTTAGAATCAGCTTTTACTGGCAAAATTTAAATAATACCTATTTTATAGCTTCAAAGTCTTCAGTGCAAATATCTGGGCACAGTTTTTGTTTTCATTGTTCCTGAAAGTTAAAATACTAATTTACAGTAATGACATTTAAATAAAGCATTTTTTAAATTTTTTTTCATGTTCATGCAGAAACTATCAGCTCTGAGCTCCAGTCTGGCACGTGTGGTTTCTACAGACGAGGAAGAGGAAGCTAAGCTCGATCAGTTTCCTACGGAAGGGGTGAGAAAAGTAACACAGTCATTCTGTTTTGATGATGTTGAAAGTAAATACTTGTCCCTGAAAATATTAAAACAACCGTTGATGAATAATTGGTCTGAGAGAAGTAGTAAAAGATCACTTTGAGAGACTTGAAACCTTTTGGAGATACTATCTGTGACTGGGGATTTGCAGTTTTATGTTCGGTTGCTAGGTGTTCTCATCTGAGATGCTTGTTTCACCCTACTGGTTTGAGGTTATGAAGAAAAGGGCTACTTTTCCCCACAGGGACTTTCCTTGAATCTGCAAAACCTTCATAGGAACTCTGACATCGTGCAATTCAACAACCCAGGTTTTGGGTTCTCACAAAGACTACTTTGTTGCTCATTGAACATTATAGGACAGTGGACGCAGCTAAAAGTTAAACAGTTACAGGTAACACTGAGTCAAAGGAACTTAATTAGTTTATAACATTTGTTATCCTTGAAAACAAAATAAATATATTATAATGGTTTATTTCATGATTTAAAGTTGTTTTTACATGATTTAGAAGTCTTGGGTTTGGGGTGTCAGTTTGGAACATTCAAATAAATATTGGACATTAAAATAAATATATTTTTTGTATTGAACTTTTTTTTATTTATTAAAACGAATACAAGCCCAAACAGAAATAATTACTTTTACATCCTGTGTCAGACATCCTGATTCAAATGCAAAGTAAGCATTGATTAACAAAACATAGGATATTGCTGTTTTGATGTTTCAGCTCACATCTACACTGATCTGGATGTTATAACAGATGTGCTTGCACCTCTGCAGCACACAAATGAGATTTTGGTGAGAAAAATGTTTTCCAAAGTGGAGATTTTGGAAAATTCTAGTTATGGTTTGTCTGTGTGGACATGAGGCACAGAGCTTTTCAGAAACAGTTATGTAGCAGCCTACCAGATACACACCCAGCACCACTTTGTGCCATAGAAACCCTAACAATAGAAACATTTTTGTAATTATTATTGTTTTATTTTTCAACATCTGTCTCACTCCTGTGGTGCAGTGGTAGGGCAGCTGACTTGGGACCAGAAAGTAACGGGCTCAGTTTCCCACCATGCCTATATTTTTTGGTGCCCTTGAGCAAGACTCATACTCTGCCTTCTGCTCCACTTGGGTGTATCTCAAGTGTGGTGGGTAAAAAAAAAAAAAAAACAGTTTTGGGAGAACTTTTAGTGTAGAGTGCTACAACTTTAGCCAAACTAAACGTATTGTCTCTGTATTTTGATGTATCGTAATGTGGATGTTCTCGGCCCCTAGTGGCATGGCAACAGTATGTCAGTGTTTTTATGACTGGTGTGGAGGGAGAAACATATTTACAGATAATAAAATGTACTTATTTGGAGTAATGTATACAGATCCTAACCGTCAGAAAATATTGGCGGTAATATTTTATTGTTAATTTAAATGTCATACTAAATATTTGTGGTTATGCAGTGTGTATAGCTTAAAAAGTAATACCTTATTTAAAAGGAATTCAGAAACCTGTCTGTTTTTTTGGAATAAATCAAACAAGCATACTGTAGAAATGTCATAAGCACTTTATTACATTGTATGTGAAAGTTATAAGATTTCTGTTTATCTGAGTACAGATGATAAACACGATGGTACATTTTCTTTCTTTTCAGGAAGACATAGAGAAGATGGAAGCTAGAGAGAAGGAACAGAAACAACTGGAAACCCAGATGAAGTTATTTGAGGGTCTAAAGTTCTTCCTCAACAGAGAAGTGCCCAGAGAGTCGCTGGCTTTTACCATCAGGTGAGGATGAGAACATTTGAGCTCATTTGTCTATTAAAATGTCCCGTATTACATCTGCTGGCGCTCTGCCTGAGTTTACCCTCTGGCAGTTTTCCTAGATATTTTGCAATGAAAATCTGATAAGGTACTTATCTTCCACACAATGTAACTGAACTGCTGCTGTCACGTAAACAAGCAGTTTACTTCCCGTTTACTTTTAGGTATTATCTGCAGCAGCGGTTTCCAGCCTTTTTCACACCACGGACCGGTTCTATGCAACATAATTTTTTCATGGACTGGTAGCAGGGGTGGAAGTTTGACAGGGGGTCACGTGCATACCAAAACACAATACAGTGCATCGTTTAATTATTAACTCTATAATTTCAATATACTTGGAAATTTATATTTTGTAATATCATTTATATTATTTGGTGGTTAAAGTAGTATATTCAGTAGCAGTTATCTCAGTGCGTGTGACTCGCCTGATGTGTTGAACCCATAATTTAAGCATGACTCTTGGTATTTTCTTTTAAATGTATCTGTTTTTGGGTGGTAGTTGTGGAGACTTCTGCTGTCTCATCATCAGGCCTTTACCGTTTTTCAAAAAAACCTCTTTAGCCTCGTAAGTTTATTCGTTTGCCTCAATTTGCTAAAGTTAATTTGAGAGTTTACCAGTTAAATGAAATGGAAAAAAAAACTGCAGCAGAGTCGAGCGAGCACTAAAATTGTCTGAACAGAAGTGATTGATTTTCAAAATAAAGTGCAGATTAACGGCAATGGAAACAATTTTTTTTAATTCTGTCTCGGTGGCCTGGTCACTGGTCTGCGTCCTAGCTGTTGGGGACCCTGATCTGCGGCAGCACCCCCCATTCTGCATGTTTGTTTGCCTGATCAGTTTTCAATAGGAAGAATAAAGGATTTTTGGAGAAGTTAATTCTACAAACCTTCTGAGTGTTATGTGGCAGTTCATCTCCTGATTGTATAAACGGCTGTGTGGTGCAGATGGTGTCCTCAGCTGAGAACGTGCTTTTTAAGTTCATGACAAATTCATTACTGATCGGTAATTAAGCTTTTCCCCATTCTGACTTCTGTTTCCAGATGTTTTGGTGGCCAGGTGTCCTGGGACAAGTCTGTTTGCATTGGGAGCACATATGACGTGACAGATGAGACTATCACACATCAGATTGTTGACAGACCCAATGTTGACAAACAGTACATAAACAGGTGAATAAAATTCATTCAGTCTTTATTTATGCAGGCTAGGCTCATTGAACCACGAGGACTCATTTACAAGAGGGACCTGTTCCAGACGACATATAAAGTACAGACAATAATAACAGTTGTTTTCATCATTTCTGATATTTTGTTCATGTTTCAAGCACCACTACTACATATTTTCTTATCAAATATCCTGAATACAGGAAGTCTGACGTGTTTCTGGTGAATTTCTTCATTGTTAACAATTTGACTTTTCGTAATCGTCTGCCTGTTCCTTCACAGTGACCATGTTTGTTTTATGGTTGACATACACTCACATCTTACTAACGTTTTATAAAAGAAACTGGAAAATTCCTCACCAATGGAAATATATCCTGATTATTTTATACTTGGTTATTTCAGTCTTTTTATTGTCGTTCCAGGTACTACATACAGCCCCAGTGGGTTTACGATTGTGTCAATGCCAAAATACTCTTGCCCGTGGAGGACTATTTCCTTGGAGTGACTCTGCCGCCTCACCTGTCTCCATTTGTGGAGGAGAAGGAAGGAGACTATGTGCCCCCAGAGAAGCTGAAGATAATGGCCCTACAGCGAGGAGAAAAACCTGGTGCGGCTTGGGCATTCTGTTTTCTTAGAATGAATTACAAAGTACTGTGCTTTGTAGTTTTAAAAGTGGCAATAATTGAATTATGTTTAGTTCTAGCTCCTAGATGACACCTGGGATGATTATTTTGGTAATTGTAGCAGCATTTCCACTGTAGAAACATTTTCCAGGAACTGGAGTCTCTTCAGGGGACTATTTTCCTCACACCCATTTTCACAGTGGAAACCAGGGTCTGACGAAATTAACAGCAACACATTTTACTTTAACACTTTAAATTTACATCCTGGTGTTGCTTTGTAGACTGAAGTTTGACGTCAAGGCTGTTCAAAACTCCAACATGCAGATTTAATATGTCTAATGTACCCAGAACCCTTAACCCTCAGATGAAATGCAAACGATCCCAAGCTGAAATTGTGAAGTACAATTCAAAACCTTTGGGCTTTTAGGTTCAGGGTCTTTTTCTTCTTTGTGTAAATGAACTGTTCTAAACGGCCAAAATCAATTAAACAATTAGATTTTTGTGTTAAATGCACTTATTTTTAAATGTTGGAATATTTCTGTTCCACCCAATTTTAAAAATGCCTAATATGATTAAAATATTTATTATTTTGTGTTTTGCAATATTTTCTATAATTGTTTTCCTCCTTGTTAAAACAAGAACTGGGACAAGATGATGATGAGGAGGAGGACGACGAGGAGGACGATGGTGATGAAGAGGAGGAGGACGAAGAGGAGGAGGACGAAGAAGAAGAAGCAGAAGAGAAGAACCTCAAAAAGATGGAAGAACAAAGGTCCCAGGGCAAGGTAAGAGATTTCTGGCCTTTGTTTTGGTGTCTGTCTTTGCTGTTAGCGTCTGTGACACAGCTCCTCTTTCCAGTCTTTGCAAGTTAAGGTGACGCCTGGAAAAGTGAAGGCAGAAAATCCATCACGGTTGAAGGAGGAGGAGAAGGCAGAAGAGAAACGTCTTGCCATCATGATGATGAAGAAAAGGGAAAAGTACCTGTATGACAAGATCATGTTTGGAAAGAAAAGAAAAGTCAGAGAGGTGCGTTTTTATTTACTTTTTGTGTCGATGTGAATTTTCATATAGATAAGATTTAGCTGTGTGAAAATGACTCATTCTTCCTTTTTTTTTTTTTTTAAGTCTTTGTGTACTTTACTGTCAATAAACCTTTATCTAAGAATGTCATAGTACTATTTAGCTGATGTTAATGAAACACAGATGCCTAAAGATGACGGTTGACTTCCCTGACCTTAAAAGTGTTTGTGTGGCTGGTGTTGACTCTTCATTAACTGCGATCAATCTCCTTACAGGCTAACAAGCTCGCTTCCAAAAGGAAAGCTCATGATGATGCTGAGAAAGCAAAGAAGAAGGCCAGAAAATAACTTTTCTCATGACGTTCCCCTCAAATGGACTTTATGTATAAAATTTGATGTGTTTCAGGCTGATGTGAGAGAAAATGTCTCTGCATCGGAGAGCTTTGAGCTCCACATGAATGTCATACAGAAACACAAGATGTTTTATGTGCTAGCTGTGTAATTATTACTGTTAAATCCCCTGTTCTACATTATTAAACATCTTTCACTTCATTTTATTACGTGCTTTAAATTGTTTTGCATTATGTTTTATATAAATTTGCACTTTCAAGAAAGTTTTTGCTACTTTTTGTGCTAGCAGCTCATTCAGGAAGAATTATGAGTCAGACAAGTTATCAAGACTCTTCATGGGCTTCACTTCCAACCTTGGTTGAGGTTAATAGTAAGGATGTAAACTGTAGGTGTTGGTGACGAACAGAGCTTGACCTCTGGCCTCTGATGGTGCTGCTGATCTTGTGGGCTAAAGGCCAGCTCGGTCATTCTCCCTACTCAGTTTGGCATTCAGTGCCCCCTCCCACCCCTCTGTTTACACCCGGATCTGCATTCCGCACATTTCCACCCAGATCGGGTCTCGGCCTGGCACTTCGGGAGCCCAAAGGCGAAGACGCACCCATCCGGACAAAAGCAGCAGTGTTGTATGCAGCTTAGATCAAGTGAGCCTTCTAGGAATCTGGGTGTCAGTGTGAAGGGAGGGAGATGAAGTTCATGTGGATTAGCCTGGGTGGGGCGTCATTTGGGCCACACGTTGCTACATCCTGCAGCACAGAGCCTAATGGACTCCAGAGGAATGTGGATTTCATCACCACTTAAATTTTCTGCTGCGTTGCTTAAGAGAAAAATTCTAAACCTAATTACAAAAAAGAACAAGTCCTGATTTGTTCAGAGCAAAAACAAGAACTTTTGTTTAAATAAATATACAACATTACAGACCAGGGTTATTTGTTTAGCTAACGTGACTTAATCTGTTCAGATTTTTAAAGCCATTCTGTGTACATTCATCCTGCCACATCTATAGGTCCAGCTTGCTTAAAGAGCATTTCAGTCAAAAGACAGAGCAGTCTTCATCAGCTGGAACAATTAGAGCTTTTGTGCTGTGCATTTCTGCATTTGTTCTTTTTCATACCCTCCCCCCTCCCATCAGCATGCAGCTCAAACTTCAGCGTCCGCCCTCAATAGGCCTTCTATGTAGACACAGAATAGAGACTATACAGCCTCTTCTCTTTTCTGCTCTCCCGGTCTTCTTTCTTACACTCAGCACGCAGTGCATGTCCCCTGACAGAGGGCCTGACGTCACAGGTGGCTACATGAACCTCCCTGCAGTGCTTTATTCAGCGAGATCAGTTTTGGAATTGAAAGTTGAGGGGAGGAGGCATCAGGTGTGCACGCACAGTCAGGAGGAAAAGGAAGAAGAGGAACAACGTGCAGATGAATGAGATCGGCATCATTGGACATGTGATAAGAGGAGCACTGACTGCCGGCTCCAACAGCATGTCACGATCTCACAGGAGATTAACTGGCTTTGATGGGCTGAAGCTACATGGGCAACCTGATGCAGAAGGGCAGAAGACGCATCTAGTAGTTTCTCTCTGGATGAATGCATGAAGGTGAGAATCTTTAGTTTTCATACTTTGTTTTTCTCTAAGGCTATAACTTATTGTATGCTGGAAAAATTATGATAAGGACTTATAAAATGATTTTATTTTTATAAAACAAACAAGGAATAATCAATGGTTTCTTAAAAATATATTTTTCCATGAAAATAAGGGGAAATCTTTTTTTAAGTTATAGGTGCAGGCATGCAGAAGCTCAGTCATTTGAAGTTATGCAATGTTATTACAAATGGTGGATAAAGATATTACATTTAGACCAACATTTAAGCTACAAGGCTCCTATAAAAATGTATTATTTAAAAAAATGCCTTAAAATTGTGAACATGTTCATGAGATAAAATGTTCCCCCACTACATTTGCAGACAAACCCCAATTTACCAAGCTTGGTCCTCAACTGTCAGACTGCAGAAATCCTTTCATAAAGTCCAGACAAAGCAAAGAAATTGGTTGTGTTTGAACAAAACTAGTAGATAAGATAAAATTGACTAAACACGAAGGATAACTCAGAAATGTATAGAGCAGCTTTTGGCCATAACTCGGGTGGTAACTCCACTGGGTCGATGGAGAAACTGAAATGTGCGCTTTGAAAGGTTGTTTTATTTAAAATTAAGCCAAAGCTATCTGAAGTTAAAAGTCTATTGTTCCTCAAAGGGATGCACAGTCCGCTCCGTTTCATGCCAGAATTTTAGACGATGATAATTTGATCTTGAGAAATGACAAAAGTTAAAGCCATTTTTTTCAAATTGAAAACATGGGCAATCTCATGTAATATCACCCACGATCTGCTAGCACTCGGAGTAAGCGTTAAGAATGACTCTCAGCTACTACCACACCAACGTCGAGAAGGTGCTATTTATAAGACTGAGCTGAATACAGCACCTCAGACTGAAGAAGTCTTTCGGATGAAAGACGAAACGTTTCTACAATTTTTTTTTTTGTTTTGTTTTGTTTTTTTGAATGTCCAGAGGACCAGATTTTACTTTTTTAGATTTTTCTACCTGGGTTATTGAGCATGCATCAGGTTTATCTCAGTAGTTGTAAAATTCACTAAGGTACAGCTTTTAGGCTAAAGTTGATCAGCTGCATGTACCGGTAATTGGACTGACTCCACAAGTTGATCAGTTGTAGCTATCAACCCAATGATTACGTTCTCGTTTTATTGAAATCCAGTGAGATATTTTCCTAACAGACAAAAAGGGTTGACTCCAACAATCAATATCGAGGTGTGAAGCAAATATTTTGGATGTTATGTCCAAAGTATGTGTTAGGGGTAATGCTCAGCTACCACATCAGATGTTAACCTCAAATCTATAAAACTGACTGAGTTATAAATATTTGTGTGCCCTGATACTATTTTGATGTAGCGGCCATTTTGAATCATGTTTACTCCAAATGCTGATCAGTTGTAGATGTGATCAAATCTGTTCAGTGGTTCATGAGATGTATCACTAACGATACAAAGAGATGCACACAGACAGGTAAAAACATTATTTTGCCTCTGGTGTTGGGACAGGGGGTTGTAAAGTTGACCATGGACAAATAAATTGTGGCTTCACTCCTAAAAAAAAAAGCACATTTCAAGTCTTCAAACAAAAAAATACACAGTTAATGATCCTAAATTAAATTGAACTTATAACAGAAATGTCTGAAAGTAGTCACCAACTTAAAAAAATCATACCACTTCAAAATAATTTTCAGACTAGACGAAGACAAAAGGATCACTGTAAAAGAACACACAATTATTTAGCTCCAACACAAGTGTAGTGATGATGTGGTTGACGTGTGCACATGATCAGCCAGAGCCACTAACAGTGATGTGTAATTATGAGTTGTGTGTTATTTGGTTTGACTCATGCTCACAGCAACACACGACAGATAACTTAGTGCAGCCACCACGTCTCCATCTCTGACTCGAGTCTCAAAACATTCTGGTGTTTCAGTTGTGATGTCTGACATGCTGCAGCGTTTCAGCCTGCTTGTTCACACAGATAGCATGCTGAGTACTTCGATGTAACTTTTTGTTACTTTGATGTGAAACAGTATGTAGTCAAAAACTGCTGAATTGCAGTTTTATGGTACTTTTATATTCAGTTACATGTGCTGCTTGTTTGCTCTGCTTTTCATTTAGAATAAGTGATACTGCAGCACTTCAAAACTATCATAGTTAGTGCAAAAGTGGATCTTAAAGAGATTTTACAAAGTACACAACTTAGTTATAAATAAAACAGCTGTTTTAAACTTTTTATTTTAATTTTTATTTTATTTTTTTTAGATCTGTGTTCTTTATTGGGTCAAAATCTGTTGACATTTATTCTGTTACACTTTGGATGAGCCAACTTTCCAGGTTTGCTCTACCTGAATACCACTTGATGCAATTTACTGCACAGGAGGACGCTTAAGATGTTGTCTGCCGAAAATGTAATTATGCAATTACTGATGCAGTGGAGACATTTTCGCCTTTTTTCCCCATTTTGTTTTAATACAAATTTTAAATTACTTATCAGTTCTGGTTGAAACATTTGACACAACTCCTAAATAAAAAATATATTTGGTCACCGGTTTTATATTGATTAAATCAGTTATTTCTTTTGGGAAAACAGAGTGAAATGCCTCCCCAACCAATGGACAGTGTAATTCCTGCATCAGCTCTGCTTTGAGTAACACGGGGTCACATTGAGCTGCAAATTTCAGGTTACTTCTAGTTGAGAGAGCAGGTAGCTCGTCTTACCACAGTCTGCAGGAGAGGACACTATTATTTTCCACTGTTGTGCATAATTTATTCTTTAGAGGAGCACAGAACACAAGGTTAATCATTTCAGGTCACAGTAATTACATTTTTGGGGTTCATTATAACATTTTAGTGTCAAATATTTTGGCGGTGAAGGTAAAGTTCTACTCAGCCTTTAGGTCCATTTATTGTGCATACACTGTATTTGTTTTTAAGCTATGTGAAAAGTAGAAAATACCCAGAAAGGAGGCTCACAAGCAATCATTCATGTTCTAAATCTAAAAGACAAAAGTTATACACTACATTTTGATACTGTAAAGCTGAACCATGGTCTAATTTAAATCAGGTCCTCTCTAGTGCAGTTTGTTCCAATGACGTTTTTTTAATTTGTGTCTGTAGAAACCAGAGAAGCAAGATTGCAATCTATATGGAGTCACTTTCAATTAAATTCCCAAGAAACTGTGTAAATAATTCATTCAAAGTCTTGCCACTTACCTTTTCATATACAATGTCTTTTTAGTTGCATTCTTTTTGTTTCTTTGATTTGTTTTAGCTTGAGAATATAATGAAATGGCATTTATTTATGGTTTCTAAAAGCAGTGATGAAGAGGATATCTATTATGTGTCTTTAAGGTAATCGTTCATTCTGCTGGATAATGACAGAAAAGAAAGGAAAGCGATGGAGGTCCATGTGCAAAGGCCTGATCCTGGGTGCACTTCTGACCAGCAGCATGATTCTTGTTTACTGCCTCTCCAACCCGCATATCCACTTCGATCTGCCCGAGTAAGACCTAGAACGCTTGTACTCACACATTTTAGACAAATTATCATGCACATTATATATATATATATATATATAAAAGAA